TTAGAGCTAGCAATAATAGCAAATAGCAATTTTTTCCTTGGTTCTTTATATTAAGTGAAAAGCAACAGAACACAAAGTGTGGTGGGGTAGCTTGTAGCATTAGCATAGACTTTTTTTTTAGTCCTTTATGTGTGAAAAGGGGCAAAACAACACACAAAGGGGTGGGGGTAGCTTAGCATATGCATTAGCAATAGCTTTTTTTCAGTCTTTATTGGTGAAAGGGGGACAAATAAGACAAAGGTGGTGGGCTAGTCTTCTAGCGATTGCCGTAGCTAGCATTAGCATTTATTTCTTTTTGGTCTTTATTGGTGAAAAGGGGCAAAACAGCAACACAAGGGGGTGCGGGGTAGACTTGCTAGCATTAGCAAGCTAGCATTAGTTTTTTTGTCTTGGTGATAAAAAACAAGGACAACAAACAATCGCTGTGGAGCATGCGGCGGGCTAGCTTGCTTTCATCTTTCATGTATGTGAATTTAAACTGATCTCAACAAGAGTGCTAAATAACAAGTGGGGGGGGGCTAATCGCTGCATTAATGCAGCCGTGACAACCAGACCAAGTTAAATTGCTTTGAAAATAATGAATGACATTGCTAACATGAGTAAGTAAACATATATAATAGCTGTAAATCAATGGATTAATGATGATAACAGCATTGGTCATTGATGAATGAATTCGATGATTTCATTACAAGATTGCAAAATAACAAGTGGGGGGGCCAGCTTGCTAGCATTAGCAGCCATCTTGCTGGCATTGTTCACCGATGAATGTATTTAACAAGTTATTAGATTGCAAAATAATGTAATAATAACATAATGTAATAATGTAAAAAAGTGAGTACTTTCTATATGCACTGTATGTGTAACTGATATTTCTGTCCAACAGCCATCTCTAGTATTTCTTCCCAATGGGTGCCTCCCACCAGGGAGTTTCTCTAGGATGAGGTTTAATTCAGGCAGAGTACATGTTATTACAGCTGCTTTCACACCACTGCTGTGATATTAACATTTGAAACCTTTCTGTCTCTCTCTCCCTCCAGGTGACAAAGAAGCTCGCTGGTGCTGCTTCTGAAACAGCTGCCTGGGTTACCAATGTTGGTATGTTGGCTTTCCAAGATGGTGGCCGGATTGACGACGCTGCATCTTCGATGTGGACCCCCGGAGGAGCCTGCCTTCTCATTGAGGCATAGCGGCGGTCCTACCTGGAGGGAAGCGCGTGATGCTCAGCCTGACTGTTGCCAAGGTGATCCTGAGGATCTCCTCGGAGGAGTGGAGACTGCACTGTTGGAGGGAGGACACATGGGGCGGAGGAGATGTCCCTCCTCATCCAGGATCTCCACATCACCCTGGACGTCCCTTTGCTGGATGCTCTCCACATCCAGGACATATGGAGTACACAGAGGCGCCACCTCTGCTGCACTTNCTCCTGGTTTCCACCTTAACCAGTTCACCCCAGGTACATGTGTGTGTCTCATAGCTCGTGAACAAGTACATTGTGTATTATCATTTCATTCAAACATAATTTTCACTTGTGGTCCAAAACCTTTTTCCTCAAGCCAGTGCCAAGTAANACCAGTTCATCCCAGGTACATGTGTGTGTCTCATAGCTTGTGATTAAGTATATTGTGTATTATCATTTCATGCAAACATGAAATTCAATTTTGATCCAAAACCTTTTTTGTCAAGCCAGTGCCATTTATTTCCAAGCTCCTGGCAACACCTGCCAGACAGAGCAGGACAAATAGTGAGTTGTCTTCCCTCCCAGATACCAGGAGAGGCAGCGACGGGGAAGAACACCTGTCTTGGGAAGGAGAGTCTCCAGAGGTGAGATTCACTTCAAATATCAGTTTCCTCTAATGAATATCAGATCTATATTAACACACACTGCTCTCTGATTATCTTTCAGCTGTCTTCTTGGACTGAACTCAGGCCCTGCAAACTGGGCCAGTGTTAGCCGCCTTGTGGAGGCCATA